TCCAGAAATAAGAATATGAATATTAATTTATAGAAGCATAATGTTAATGTCCATTTTTATCTTTCTCCTGGTCCATAGAAGAACCTCAGAATACCCCTTTGAAATCTCTGTGCTTTTGTTGCTGTGTATTTAACATTATATCTTTTAATCTCCGGTTTTATACAGCTAGCATTTTTTTTAGATAGACTCATATATTTACCATTTTCTTTGCCCTTCATTGTTTTTTGTTTCGTTTTGTTTTGCATCTCAGTTCCAATATCTTGCAACATTTTCTTTCTGCCTGAAGTATATCCATTAGAATCTTATTTAGAGGAGACAAAGCCTTTTGTTTGCTTGTTTATCTAAAAATGTCTTTATTTTTACTGTGTATATTTTAGGTTGGCAATTGCTTTCTTTCAAGATCTGGCCTCCAATGAAGTCAGCTAAAAATCTCATTGTCACTCCTTTGAATGTAGTCAGTTTTTTGCTCTGACAGAACGAATTTTTTTTTTTTTTAATTTCATATTATGGAAAATTTTAAATATGCTCAAAATTAGGAAGAATCATCTAATAAACTCTTCCGCACCCATCAGCCAGCTTCAATAATTATCAGCAATTTGCCACTTTTGTATTACCCATTCCCACTCATACAGACACTTATGCACTTCTTTATCTTATTATTTTATTTTTCACTGGAGTGTTTCAAAGTAAATAAAAATATCACATCCTGTATTTTCATCTGTAAACACTTCAGTATGTATCTCAACAGACAAGAATTTTATTAATATAAGTACCATTCATTATCACAGCTAACACAATTAACGAGGGTACTTTAATATCTTCTAATATTCATTCTCCATTCAAATTTCCTATTTGTGGGTGTTAATTTGGGGAAATAAGACTCCAAATGAGTCCACACATTGCTTTGGTTGTTATTTCTCTTATGACTAGATAGATAAAAGCCATACAAATCTTTATGGAAATATGCCCATCTCCCTTCTATGGAGTGGCTGGTGGATTTGAACCACCAACCTTCTGGTTAGTAGTCAAATGCTTTAGGTACTACACCACCAGGGCTCCTTAGGTAAATGCCATACCAAAAACCAAACTCACTGCCATCAAGTCTATTTGACTCATAGCAACCCTTCCTTGGGTTTCCAAGGCAGTGTCTACAGATTGCCCAGTCTTCCTTCCAAGGAGTGGCTGGTGGGTTTGAATCACCAGCCTTCTGGTTAGCAGTCAAATGCCTTAGGCACTATGACACCAGAGCTATACATCTTATTAAATGGAAGAATCATTGATCTCTGTATTTGACTATGGAAGGATACTAGCTACATATAAAACAGAGGGAGAAATATAGAAAAGTATATCAGTGTGTATAAATGATACCTAATCTGCAAAATGCATTTTAAACAGAACATTCTATTTTATTTTATTTATCTTATTAAGCAGTTTAAACCTTCTTTCCCAGTGGTAATAGCAGGAACATAATCTGGGAATGACACAATTTTATATTTTCAATCACTATCTCTGCCAATTCTTCTTTCTTGTCCCTTAGTGGTATCTTCAGCAGCTTATATACATTTCTGGTTGCTTGGTTCTTATAAAAATCTAGTCCACTTTGAATTCCAATTTTATATACCATCTTCATTGGACTCCGAGGAGCTTGGAGAGGAGGGGAAACACGACCTGCCTTTTTGTCCATCCCTCTCTACCCCCTTGGGGTCAAATGAGGAGCATGATCTTGATCTTTATACCTCTTTTCCCTCCTCTTTTCAATACTTAACACTTATAAGGGTGTGGACCAGGAGGGGAGAAAGAGCTCTTCCTACCTAAGTCTAGGGAGTTCTGGTGGCACAGTGCCTAAGGCACTTGACAGCTAACCAGAAGGGTGGCAGTTCAAACCCACCAGCCAGTCCTCGGAAGGAAGGTTGGGCAATCTACTTCCATAGTGATACTGCCTCAGAAACCCAAGGAAGGGTTGCTAGAGTTGAGTCCGACTCCACAGACAGCAATGGTTGCATTTTTTTTACCTACGTCTACATCTATGGGCTGAGGCATGACTAGTCTTCCCCTGACTATTCCAACTATGCTTGTTCCATATGCTGATACTGTCCTCCGCTTTAAAAACTGTCTCTACAGTGAAGTTCTGTGTGACTGCAAAGAGGAAGTTCATCTTAACTCAGATTCCCTTGTTCTTGTCTCCTTCTGCCTTACTTGTGTTACCATTCCTTCTCTGGGTTAAAAAAACTAAACTGAACATTGCAGATGATTCTATTCTAACTCATGGCAACCCCATGTATGTCAGAGTAGAACTGTTCATAGGTTTTCTTGGTTGTAATCTTTTACAGAAGCAGATCAAAAGGCCTTTCTTCCATGGCGCTGCTGGGTGGGTTTGAACTATCAACTTTTAGGTTAGTGATCAAGATCAAATCATTTGTGCCACTCAGGGACCTCTCCAGGTAAAACATTACCTTATTTGGCCTAGAGGCTTCCAGGTTTCTGCTCCTTCATATAACCCTCATGCTCGTTCACATGGAGCCAGGAAATTGCTGAGATCCTCTTTGGCACCCTGAAAGGGCTGAGGAGAACTAGGATGGGTTTGGCACTCATCCTCTACCCTGGCACAGCACACTAAAGCTCTTTACTCCCCTTCTGCTATGGATTATTTCTGCAAGGTTCCTCACTTCAATATCCTCAAGATGAGATGCAGGAACCAAACTTTCCTAAGAACTCCCTCATTTTCTCAGGTCTGGTGGCAACAGAAGGATTGGAGTGGGGACTACAAATTCTAAAGTTCATCAAGCCTCCAGCTGAAAAGCGAGGTGCCAGTCACATCATGAGTAGGCACCCCATTCTCTATGACAATGCTCTTGGAACCCCACCATGTTCTCCTTTGAATTCTGGAGGTGAGAAAATTACCTCTAGGGGAAAGATGGGAAAGGAATTCCTTCCCACTGAGAGAATAACAACAACTTTCACTCCCTCCCCAGTAATCTGTTTATAATAGGAGGGGAATTATTTGCTGCATGATGATTGTGGGTAATAGGGATTGTTCAACTGCCTCTTATTAAACTCTGGGGGATTAATAGGCCCCAATGTTGGCAGCTTTCTTTGGTCTGTGGAGTATTAGTGCCTTTTGTTTTCAGATGGGGCCCCAAGGCAACAGTAAAAGTCTCATTCAGCATCTTATTACATAACCAAATAGCTCAACTTGGCATTCTATTGCAACTGTTCAGAAAATGATTACAAAAGTTTATTTACATTTTATTTTTGCCTAACCCTACTATCACTCTTTTGAAAATCTTGATAAGCACTGAAGCTTACAAAACATACATGGAAGTTTGAGAAAAGTAAGTAGGATGTGTAATAATACATATTTAAAAAAAAAAAAAATTAACTACTCTCGTGCACCAAAGGTTCACTATTGTGACAAAAAACAGCAAGGCTTCATCTTGGCCTGAACTGGAATCAAGAGGTAGGAATGCAGATGGGGGTTAGACAAGAAAGCAAAGGGTGATGGGAGGAGAAAAGTGGAGAAAGAGAGAGAGAGCACATGCAGTATGGTGGTCCCTGTTCCATGCCTGGGGCCCATGCACGCAGCTCAAAAAGAGTACTGTGGGCCTCTTTGGGGGAGGGTTAGAAACTGGCTGTCTTTCTTCACTCATGGAGCTATTTAGAGCTCTGGCTTCTTGGCTAGAGATTGGTATCCATGGCCCAAGAAGTTAGCATTCCTGACTGGGGGAGGCAACAAGGGGAGAAGAGAGTTTTCAAGTGCATTCTACATCTCCCCTTGGCCTCTCCAACTGTCCCCACCCTCCTACACAAACTACTCATAAGCTTGCTGGAAAAAATAAGTTCATTAATCCAGACTCAGCCTGACACAACAAAAGAAGCAAGCAGAGCTCTCATCGTAACAACCTTGGATTTGTGGGTAAGCACTATTTACTCTGTTCTTGAACAGAAGTTTAATCTGAAGTTTAGACTATAAAGCAAGCTGACTGAAAACTTCTTTTTTTTTCTGTTTCATTACTTTAACCTCCCTTTTCATGTTAAGCTTATTCTGCAATATCAATATCAAAGTTTTCTTGAGAGCAATCCGTTTGTAGTCTGGGTATGTAGTGGGCCCTTAGCTCTGCGAAAAGTATTGGGAAGGGCTCAAGGGAACGAGCATATGTGTCCCTGAAGGATGTTGGTGTGGGCTTGGGAATCCAGGGTCTAGGATGTGTGGGGGCAGGAAGAAATGAGTTTATGCCCAATCCAAGTGTTTCACCAGTGCTGCCCATACAGCTCATATTGGATGTCTGTTCTAGTTTTTGATCAGTAGACCCCACTCAATCTATTCTTTGAGATATTAATTTTTGAGATTTGGCAGACATTGTTAGACTCCAGAGACACAGCTCTGAAAGCTTCTTGGAGGCAGGAAGTGTGCTTCGTTCATTCACCAGTACCCTCAGCTCCTAGCGTACCACTTGGCACAAGCTGAATGAACCCATGCACATGTGAATGAATGAAATGCAGAAACCTCAAAATGGCTCTGCCTAAGTCCCCAAATCCACCCCTTCCTGCCCCAGACCTCTGAGGATGCTCTTTGAAAGCCCTTAAGAACAGCAGAAATGACTTCTCTTGTTGGGTCAATAAGGCCAATGTATTCAGGATAATTCTAATTTTTTTCCCCAAGAGCTTTTCATATACTTCTCATTTGGTCTTTACAAAAATCTAATTGGAGGATATGTATGAAACTTGTCACTTATCCATATTGTATTAACAAGGAGACTGAGCTCAGAAGAATGCCTTGGCCCTCAATCCTTCTGTGTCACTCTCTTAAAACTCATTCTACTATAGAGCAAAAATTCCCAGTAGTGCGGTTTCAGCTGATTCGGCAATGGTGGTTTCAGAGAAATACATGTTCCAAACGCTGATCTCTGACTAAAAGCCAGGGGTCAGTGGCTGGTGTTGATTATCAGGTTAGCCATGGTGCAGGGAGAATCTTGGTTTATTATCTCTAGATCATGAAGAGAATGGAGAGACACATGGTCAGGGCACCAATGCACAAGCACTTTGATTTGGAGAGGAAGACCACCAAGCAGGCTGAAGCCAGACTCAGCCAAAGCCTGCAGAGATTAGAGGACCTCTGCCGCTACAATATGAAGCTGCTGGCCAGGGAGCAGAGGCAGCTTCAAAAGGAGCTGCAGAGATTGCAGCAAGGTAAGTAAGCACTGAGGAGAGGCTGAGCACATAGCTTGGTTTTTGAGATTTGTTGGGCCTTATGAGACCCCAGAGTCACAACTCTGAAAGCTCTTTGGAGCCAGGAGCAATGTGTAATTCACCAGTCCCCTCAGCTCTTAGCATAGCACTGGCACAGGATAGGGCACGGACTGAGTGAAACCACACATATGTGAATGAATGAAATGTAGAGGCCCCAGAGTGGCTCTGCCATGAGTCCCCAAATCCTCCTGGTCCTGCCCCAGACTCTTTGCTCATGACAAATGCTCCTCCAGAGCCCTGGATACTAAGGAAGCAAGATCTCCTGGCCTCAACCTGGGCTGTAGGCTGCCCAACCCTCCATGCCCCTCCCTCTATCTATTACACAGCTTCCCAGAGCAGCCCCTACACAAACCTTCTTGAGCTATTACTTGGCAGACTTCCAGTCACCACAGTCTTTCAAATTAGCTCTCTCTTGCTGTAATCCTTAGTTTTCCATTTGCTTATTTTATTTCTTCTTCTTCTTTTCTTTTGCCTTATCTGAATTGTTTGGTTATATCCCTTGTTTTGTGTCTAGTCTTTCTTTTGTAGAGCTAACAATCATTTATTGAGCAATGTAGTACCTAAGGCATTTGACTGATAATCAGAAGGCTAGCGGTTCAAACTCACCAGCCACTCCTCGGAAGGAAGGTTGGGCGATCTACTTCGTAGTGATACCACCTCAGAAACCCAAGGAGGGGTCGCTATGAGTCCGATTCGACTCCACAGCAGTGGTTGCGTTTGGTTTTTAGTGATGTGGAAGTCACTGTGTTCTTCTTTTGCTGTTAGTTACTGTTGAGCCAATTCTAACTCACGGCAACTAAATGTGTCCAGGGTAGAACTGCTTCAGACGGTTTTCAGGGTTGGGACTCTTTGGAAGCAGAGTGCCAGACCTGTCTTAGGACGCATCTCTGGGTGGGCTCGAATTGCCAACCTTTTGCATAGTAGTCCAACGCTTAACCATTTTCACCGGTTAGGGACTCCAGTCACTGTCCTAACCCTTCCCATTTTCTGAAAGAGAAAGTCAAAGAAAAAAAAGTTTTCTGGGAGTTGGCCACCAGAGGGCAGCATATAAAAGCTAGCTGACCAGAACCCATCTCTAAAAGGCTGTGCAAAGTACTTACCAAATTTTATCCCTCACCAATTTGGGATTCAAGGTCTTCCTTTCCTATACAGAACGAGAATTTCTCAATTAAACTCTTTGTGCTACCAAGTGTATACACACTAAAGCCTGACGATTTTTCTTAGATTAGAAAGCCTCAAGCTGTCAATTGTGATTTATCTGTATTGAGTTTTCTTTGTCTTTTTAAGCCAAAGGGGAAGTATTTCTGTTTGTTTACCCAAAAAGGTGCCTTTGCCCCTAAGCTGTGTGCTCCTATTCTTTACAGTACCCACTCCTGTTAAACCTTCTGCCCTTGAAGAATTAACCCTTTCCAAAGATATGTTGTTGTTGTTGTTTTTGCCGTCGAGTTGGCCCCAACTCATAGCGGCCCCTCCTTGGGTTTCCGAGGCAGTATCACTACAGAAGTAGGATTGTCCAACCTTCCTTCCGAGGAGTGGCTGGTGGGTTTGAACCGCCAGCCTTCTGGTGAGCAGTCAAGTGCCTTAGGCACTATGCTACCAGAGCTCCTTTCCAAAGATATATCACTTAGAAAATTATACAATATGCTCTATATGTAACTAATATATCAATATATTGATATTAATATATTGGTTATTATAATGGCATATATTATAACTTTTGAACATTACTCTTGGCTTTTTACCTACAATAAGTTGCATCTACAAAAGCCAAAAGTAATGTCCAAAAGTCTGTCCTGGGGATGATCTCTAAGCTCCAGCTTTGGGCCTAAAAAGTGACTCTAAGCAAGTAACTGAACTTCCCAGCTTCTATTTCTCTGTCTCCAATGAATGGGTGAAGCCCACCTAGAGTGAAAGCTTCCATACTGGGAAAGGATCTTAGGATCTATTTGGTTGACTCCTGCTTTAATTCTCAAAAGGGATACTGATGACCAGACACCCACCCTCAGGAGGGGTGTGCAAAAGGCCAGGCCTGAGGGAGGTGACTGTCCTTGCTGAGAAAAGAGTTGGCCTCAGTGACAGATCAAGTAGGAAGACTGAACTAGGAGGCAGAAAACTGACGGAGGGGCCACTGCCCCCTGTGCTTCAGACTCCTTGGCAGTAAAATCACGGGAGAGAGAAAGAAACTGTATGTATTAAGTCTTAGTATTCACCAGCCACTCCTCAGAAGGAAGACTGAGCAATCTACTTCCGTAGGGATACCACCTTGGAAGCCCAAGGCAGGGTCACTATGAGTTGGAATGACTTGATGGCATTGAGTTTTGTTTTATCAATCAGGCACAATGCTAGGAAATATTTTTCCATGATGAGTCGCATCCAACTCCATGGCAGTAATTTTTTGTTTTGTTTTGTTTTGGAGTCAACTATATGCTAGGCTAGTGGATTGTTTGAAATGCATATTGCCAGGCCTCATCCATAGAGATTTGGATCAGCAGGTTTGAGATTAGGTTTAGGAATCCACATTTTTAACTGAGATGATTACAAGGCAGATTATTCTGGGACGTATTTTACAAAACACTATTCCAGATACTCAGTTAGGGACTAGAATACAAATGTGAAAATATAGGCATCTGCCCTCAAGAAGTTCATATTTAAACTGGAAGATAGCTGTGCTTACAAATAATTATGACAGAAAAGGTTAAATATTAAATTGGCATTATTTACAAAATAGGGGAGGAACATGGGAAAGTTCAAGGAGCTCTGGTGGTTCAATGGTTAAGCACTCGGCTGCTAACCAAAGCCACTCCGCTCTACAGGACAAAAGACCTGGCAATGCTCCAGTAAAGATTACAGCATAGAAAACCCTCTGGGGCAGTTCTACTCTGTTCTATAAGGTCACTATGTATTGGAATCAATTCCTCGGCATACAACAACAACAACAGGAAAGAGCCTCAGTAAAATCTCCCAGAAGAGGCTGTGTGTGAGCAGAATCTTAGAGGAGGAGGAGCATAGGGGGAAAGGTTGGGGACTTTGTCAGTAGGATATGGGGAAAGAGGCTACTCCAGCAGAAGGAATAGTATATATAAAGGCACATGAATGAGCATGACATGCTACAAACAGCTCAGCACCATGATAGTGAGTGTGAGAGGATGGAGGAGTGATGTTCAGAGGCAAAGCTGAACAGGCAGAGTCTCCAGTCACAAACAGCTTCATAGGTCTTGCAGAAGAGTTTAGATTTCACCCTATAGGGCTTGGGAGCGGGGAGATCACTTGTTCAAATGTTAAAGGAATCACTCCAGCATCAATATTTAAGGTATACTTTGGGAGCTCTGGTGGGTAGTGCTTAAGGCATTTGACTGCTAAACAGAAGGCTGATGGTACAACCCCACCAGCCACTCCTCAGAAGGAAG